AAGTATATAACGCATCTTCATAAGCAATGCTGTATGTTTTCTCGGCACATAATATCGGTTTTATTGTTATGTAAAACCGTCATATTTTGTAAGTGAAGTCCTTAGCTTCTTAAAAACAGGAATCCTAGTTAAGTTGCTAAGGCAATATTGATTGATGTAGTTATCCTTAGTATAAAAAAAAAGATAGTCTTACTCTATTCTTTTCTTATTTAGACTAGTTAATAATGTCCCCGTGAGACCTCAGCCATATCATATTATTAAACTTTATTTTACTGTTTACATTAATATTTTCAACTGTAAATATCAAAATTCAATTTGTTATACGACAATAAAGGCTTTTATTGGGAATTAAGAATTGGGAATTTTACTGAGAATTTAAGTAACCACGGAAACCATGAATTAACTGCCTTTGGTTTGTTTTGTCCCTTTCACGCTGAACAATTTTTTTCTAAAGAGGAAAGTTTTGTATTTTTGTATATATATTAAATAACTTAAAAACTACTGATCCGACTTAAAAATACTTTCACTGTTAGAAAGGTAGTTTAGTGAGAACATAGGCTACATTTTTAACTTCACTCGGGGGAAGTCTGGTCTGGTCTGGAGAGGTGCATACCTGGCGGGCGCGTGCGGCGTGAGCAGCGCCAGCGCGCGCGTGCTCCAGGCGTGCGCGGCGCCGTAGTCGCAGCGCACGAAGTGCAGCGAGCTGAACTCCTTGCAGAGGCGCGCCAGCAGCGCGGCCGACGCGCAGCCCGCGCGGCACCCCGCCGCCACGCAAGCTGTCGATCTGTCGCACACAGTATATTACTGTTACCATGGCAACCTTGTTTATGTTGTCAGCTTATAGATTTTCTCTTTTTCCCGCATGAAGGTTTTTTGCAAATTATTTACCCCTCTGTTTAATAGCGTGTAAATATATAGCCTAAAGTAATTGTAGAGTTTTTAATTAAAGAAGGTATTATTCAAAAATATGGTGTGATTGCTGACATCCTGACATGACAACAAAGTATTGTGTGTACGCTATATTATATCAACACAGAAGTATAGATTAATCTTACTATATTATAAATGCAAAAGTTTTGTTATGAACAGATGTTTGTTTGAGTTTGTAGCCTAAACTGCTGAACGGATGTCGACGAAATGTGGCAAAGATATAGAGAATAGTCTGGAAACATGCAAAGACTACTTACTTTTTCTTATAACCACTTAGACGAAGTCGTCTGCGACAGCTAATTTTCTTTATAAAAAATAATGTTTTGTTAACTTTCGGATGTAAAAAAGTATAGTAATGACCTGTAATCATCGGAGTCGCAGTCCGGATGTCCGTCGAGGGAGCGCAGACAGCCGCGCAGAGTTTCGGCCGGCGGCGCGCTGGCGGGCGCAGAGTGCCCCAGCCCCAGCAGCCGCAGCGACAGCTCGTAAGTCTCCGCAGCAGCGGGGAAACAGCAGTACGCGGACTGAGTGTTCAGTAATCTGGCAACATTATAACAAGACAAGTTTACACATCTGTTGATAATGCGCGGTTCGCACTAGCCTAGTGACTAGTGTTCCAGACCAGTGACTCCAACTGTACTGGACAAATGTAAACCGGGTATTAGACTATGTACTGGATCTGTTGTGTTCGTTTGTAATTCAGTATACCTGTGGCAGCACTCGAGAGTGAGGCGGCGGTAGCGGGGCGACTGCGGTTGCGCCTGGCACAACTGCCGGCAGCGCAACAAGACACGTTCCGCATCAGCATACCAACCAGCCTCGTTAAAGAACCCACCTACAAATAGCACAGTACACAAATTAATACATCTCGCACATTAGCTTCGTCATTCAACTACGCTAGTAAAGGGAACACACCTAGCCTGAGGCCCAGCTGTATGAGATAGTCTCTGGAGCGGTCGGTAGACTCGCAGCGTGTGATATATGCCCCCGCTAGTTCCACAGACAACTTCGACCCGTGTTCTATCACCGCCTGAAATATTACAATAGAACTAAATGTAGGATGGAGTCAAAAGTAATAAACAAAATTAAATTTCACATCATCAATCATCAACAATCAAAAAACTGTATCAGTATTGTGCAACAAATCAGTTTGCATAGAAAAAATCTTTTACAATTGTACAAAAAATAAATACGAGATAAAACGAGAGTAGACCAAACAAAGAGAACACAAAACAAAGCTATAAAGTTAGTCACACGTTAATTAAACGATTGACGCAACCGAACGAGTTGTGTTGAATTGAAATGTACTTATTATTTTGTATACCGGTAAAGGCGCAGTTTATTAATACATTGGATTAACCGGATTTTTAAAGAAGATCAATTTAAAATCATAGCTCATACTCGTACTAACTCATACATATTATTTGTTCAATACTTTTAGTGCAACGCAAAGTTGCGGTTGAAAGGAGATTGCATGTGGCTGAGATGCGTATGTTAAGATGGATGTGTGGTGTGACAAGAATGGATAAAGTTAAGAATGTGTATATTAGAGGAAGTTTGGCAGTAGCGCAGTGGTGGAGAAATTGAGAAGCAAAAGGTTAGCGTGGTATGGACAATTTATGCCACGAGACGATGGGGACATAAACCAGAAAGTGTTAAGCATGAATGTGGATGACTACAAAGGAAGAGGAAGATCGAAGAAAGTATGGATGGATTGTGTGAAAGAGGATATGCTTAAGAAAGGAGTGGATTCAGATATGACGGCTGATAGAGATGTATGGAAGAGCAGCACATACTTTGCCGACCCTCCATAAGGGATAAGGGCAAGTTGATGATGATGACTTTTAGTGCAACGCAAAGACTTTCATCGAGTTAATCGATATCAATCGATTTTTATCGATACAAATCACTTTTACACAAGTTTAACGCACATAGAACGTATAGAGGAAACCGTAACCATAACATCCGAAACGTACGACCTAAAGTCTAAACATGTACGAATGTTAGAGATAATTGTTTCATACTAAATCAGTTAATACTTTTGTTACATCTTTAGACAATTTATTTAATTAAAAATAAAGCATTTTATAGTAAAGACTTTAAAAAACAGTGTTCATTGTTAACCGGGACATGCGATGTTTATTCAGCCGAGTGTGACGTTTATAGTAACTCGGGTAACCGTGTCACCCTATAGCATAGAAATATAAACACACTAGCTGTTGCTCGCGACTATACCCGCGTGAATTTAAAAAATACTAATAAATTTAGCCTATGTTACTCACTGATAATGTAGCTTTTTAATAGTGAAAGTATTATTAAAACCGTCCCGGTAGCTCTTGAGTTATTTCAATACATATAAAAATACAAATCTTTCCTCTTTATAATATTAGTATAGATAATAGAAACTTGGATATCTCCAGTAAATACCTGACTATTTGTAACAAAGATTTATCATTGCTTCGACGCTGGCTTTACAACATAAAGGTTCAGATCGTCTTTTATTTATCGATGCGTTAATCTTGTAATAAAAATACGAGTACATGGAATTTCTGAATTCCTGGTACTCGATATTGATCGTCGCCTTCCGCGTAATGGTGTGAATTACACCTTGAAAAGGGTGAGGACGCAGACGGCGAATAAAAAGTACATCTTGCCTTGGTATCTTGTCTTGGATTTGTTGGAAACATCGCCATATCTTACTAATATTATAAATGCGAAAGTTTAGATGGATGGATATTTGTAAGAGTTTGTAGCCTAAACGGCTAAACGGATCTCGATGAAATTTACAATAGACGTAGAGGATAGTATGGAAGAACACATAGGCTACTCACTTTTTTCAAAATCCACGCCGACGGAGTCGCGGGCGACAACTAGTATTTTTATACAAAAAGCAGCGTAGTGCAAACTTTTATATGTAAACAATAAAATAGGCGTCATGACCAAAGACACACACCGCTTGACATACAAGATATTGTTACAAATTAATGTATGACGCAATCGCTGCATTTTAAGCCGCACACAATGTAAATAGGTGTTCATAAGCCAAATTATTTCACCACATTTTTAAATACTCGATAACTTAATTATGCGTTTAATATTTACAATTCAAACCAGTGTTGAAGGAAGACATAAAACTTATGGTGTAGAATTCGCACACCGCATAAAACCTGGCACAGACAAATCGATTTTATCGTAGGGTGTCGGCTATCACATTTTGCTTTTACCCTTACTTGGAACACAAAATACTTCGCGCAACATTGTTTTAATGTCAACACTGTTATAGAAATACAATAGACATGATAGCAAGTTATTTCAAACTATTGTCGTTTAGTATGATGAAATAATCACCTAATGTAAATTATCTTTACATTGTTTTGCCGTTTACAGCACTTTTTACGTAAATCAAACCAGTAGGAATCAAACATTTAGACTCGTATAACCAACCAAACTTTACGACTGCTTGTATTTCCGTACGAGACATCTACATATCTACATATTGGAAGATGCAGAAGTACAGTGGGCACACACAATCCCTTGCATAATATCTGAATGTAATACCTGGAAGCATTGGAGCAGCTTCAGCTGGGCACCGGTGAAGCGCAGCAGCCGCTCGAATATATCCAGCTCGGAGAGCTCCGCACCGAGGATGCACAATCGCTTCTCTTGCAGCATCTGTCAACAAAAACATTGTAATAACATTGCTTTTCAAAAACACATATCTCTGTTTATATTGAAGTGAATGACAGAGACAACGGTATGTTGAAGTATAACCATAGGAGTAGCGATACATTTATTTCCATTTTCCACAGTGGAGATTAACCCTAATTTGTTTTTCTAATTAATGGTTACATACAAGTTTTTGTTACAACGAATAATACAATGTTTGATCATACATTGTAAGTAAAATACCCGCATTTGAACAAAGATATACACAAGGCCTTGCATAATTACATACGAAAACCCTGACTACAGGAATTTGCGAAGATAAAATATTGTTATTCAAAATCACCGACTGATGTAATTGATCATTATATGTTAATTTTGAATGTTAGAGGCCTATAAGATTGATAATAATAGTTAAGATTTTTACGCACTTCTTAGAAAATCTTACGGCTTTTAGTCTTCGATGTAGGACAATATAGATTTCAACAAAGTCTAGTTTTACTGCACTCAGGTGCATTTAGTGCTTTCAATGGGAGTATATTTAAAACTAGCTATTGCTCGCGACTTCACTTGCGTGAAATTTAAAAAGATAGAAAAACATAACCTATGTAACTCGGTGATAACGTAGCTTTTTACTAGTGCACGAATTTGAAATAGGTCCAGTAGTTGAGTTTTTTCAATATAGACAAAAATACACACCTTTTCTCTTTATAACATTAGTATATATAGTATAGATGAGAAATCTACACTAAAGCTACAGTAAATAATTAGTAGTATCATAGTGACCTAGCACGAAATTTTGTGATGCATATACGACGACGTTAGAAATACATTCTTGCAAATATTCGTGCTAGGCCTTCAGTAAAGTAGGTATTTCTGAAGGCAACAGTGATGGTAGTTGTTTGCGTGACGTCACGTGTTGATCTAGGTCAGTTAGGTAATGGTTGTTGTGGCACGGCCGGCGGGTGTCATTACGCCGTCCGCTATGGCCTTATAATTATATAACTGTTTCTAGCAACACGAGATACACGTATCCGGCTTTCAACGACAATGTATACGAATAATTAACGCTGTATAAATAAGAAAAACATTGTAATGCTACCTTCACATATATGTCGAGAAATTTAAGGCAATGTAATCCGCACTAGAACTAAGGCCTTGATTAAGGGATTATGGCGTAGTGGGGCGTAGCGGTGGCAAGGGAGAGCGATCCCGTGGCGCCCAACACAATCGCCAGGAGGGAACGGAGGGGTTTAGTGATATATGCCCCCCATTATGGGGGGATAGTCCCACATAACTCTCGTGTTTGCCCCGAGGCACGGAGTATGCGTAACGCATTCCCCTTCGGCAAAAAAAAAAGGGATTATGGCGTAGTAATTCCTGACTTTGAGTAGGCTCGGGATCCTCAGTGTAGACGCTTTAGTAGACGCAGTGTAGACGGTTTATGAAGTGATCCAAACATAATTGATATTAAATTACAAAGCTGCGGGAAGAAGTTGAACATTTATTTATTGCGTACTTTATGCTAGAGTTACATTGAATTGGACAAAGTATCTCAATTGAACTGAAATTGCCTCATCAAATACAATGTTCATTGTGAGATATTCTTTACATAGTTGGGAGTTGCAAGAATAAAAATAAAGGGCCATAAAAATTAACAAAGTATCTGTCAATCGGCGGTACATTGCCTCCAAGGATCGCAGTCAACATTCCATACGATCTGGTCGTACTGGTTACATTCAAAAGAAAAACAAATCGTTGATCTGGCGTGCCCTTAATTGCTTTTACATTCATGAGTCAGGGTTAATGCAGGCAAAATGGAAATATGGCGACAGATTTTTTTCTCACATCGTACATAAACAAATAGCGTTGTATTTCTTTTTAAAAAAGAACATAAACTAATTAATTAATTTTCTTATTTAACGACATCTCGCGCTGACTGTAAGAGCGAGGCACACCTTTAATTAAACTATCGCAGAACTGTTTAGTCTCGCTTTGTATGCTATGAGCTTATATAGAGGTGCGCACACTACTCGATTTTTATTTGTGCAACTAAACAGTTGAATTGGCTCCGAAACAAACGACAATCGCACAATGTTGAGCCATAGTTTAGTCAAAGAAGTGCGTCAGCTCTAGGGATATTAATGACGTCATAGCGCAGGCGTCTACCATCAATATTGATTGTATTAACTTAGCAATTAGTGCTCTAACTGAACAAATTAGCAACTATGTTTCGCGTGTAATTATTTACACATCATACAATGTATAACAGTATGGAGATTCTTGGAATTTGCAGAATAAATAAAACCCACAGAATATTTCAATCTTTTTGCGTATGTTAACACGTTATGTGCCACTGGATACAATAAAAAGTATCTGGGCACGGTTAACGTCTGCATATAAATTTGAATAGACCTTTTATTGTATTAACGTGAACTCGGTAGCAGTGAAAGTGTTAAGATTCTGCTCTTTTAATCACTCTATCTCTGTCACACGAGTCTTTGTTTCTCAAGTTGTTTCATATCAACGATAAGTCATACAATTACGTCAAAAGATAAACTCGCGTGCTGCCTCACGTCGCTCACGTGCGTAAACATTGCGTTCAACACACGGTCGATGCGGTTGCTTGAAACCGATAAATAAATCGATTTACATATAACAAATCGATATCTCTGTCCTATTATTTGTAAGTGTACAACATTTATGTTCCTAATACATTGTATAAAATTGATTGTAGAAGCCCCAACAAATAAATTAGAAATGATCAGTCTGGCTTCTTGGCATGAGTAACTGAAACGATGTTCGATGGCTCCTACATGGACTGTCGTAAGCCACAATTTTGCGATTAAATAACAAATACTAATTTCTGTGTACATGTATTTAAAAAAGTATACGTTGGTTGTCTTACGTTAGTTTTGTTAGTTGTGATTATATTAACGTTTAAAGTTTTGCAAAATGTATATTACAGACATACGATAGTTTACGTAGGAGCGAATTGTGCTTTTTGAACTTATGTAGGGAGCCATTGTGCCGTATTCTGTACCAAAAACATTTAAAATCGTAATTTAGGATTATTTGAGAGTTGCACAAATATTAGAAAACCAATATTTATGCCATACTGTTTGATATTCATGTTTCTTAAAATAAATTTACAAGACAAGATTTCAAGTATGATTAATGCATGAGCAGCATTACGTCAAGGATTTTATGAATAATATTACCATAAAATATAAGATAAATTAATATGATTATTAACTTTATCAATAAATGTTAATAAAACGTTTATTATTGTACGTTATTTGTGTATGTTTCTACTTTGACACGCCCACGTATTAATTTACGAAAGAAATTTAGTAAAGCCGCGGATATAAGGGACACTCTCAGTGTCTATTAACCGTTTCTGAGTATCATAATTTCTGAACATCGTGCTACAATGTCGTCTCTACAACGTACGCACATTCGGACTCATCTTCAAGACTAATTTACAGTTCAACTAAACAAATCATTTTTTGTTGTTTTATTTACCCCCCGTGTGATAACCTCAATAGTTTCTCTATCATTAAATGTTGTGCAAACAGGAAGTTGATAGAAGCATTTTATCACTGGAGTCGTTGTCCTGAACAAGGAAATGCAATCTTTTATATCCTCATAGAGACGGTATGAGGCACAATTGATGACGTCATATGGAGAAACTTATTTACTCTAAGCAGTTTAATTACAGTGATGGATATCATTCAGTTAAAATAATAAAATTACACTAAAAGAAGAATATATTACATCCATAAAAACATGTTTGTCTGCCCAGGTCATAATAAAATTATGAGGACTTAAATTATGAAGACTTTTTTTTATTGTGTACATTTGTCAATTCTTAATTGAAAATGCCAAAGTTACCTAATAAATAATCACCTTGCTTCCTTAGTGAAGGCAATGGTACCTTTCCCACGTTAAGGTTTTTATCCTATTTATTTACCCCTTAAGTTTAAAAGGGTGAAAATATATAACCTAAAGCGTGTCGTAAATGTAGGGCTTTTTATTAAAGAAAGAATCATTCAAAAATATACCGTAATTTCAGACATCTTAGGCCACAAAATAATGTGTTTATTAGTACAGAGTAAAGATATTTAATGTCATAAGAATAATTTGCTATACGAATATGCAGTACAGATATTTATGAACGAGCTTATCTGAGCAATAAATCAGTGTTATCGTAAAATTAACATTGACGTGTTTAAATAATCAATCAAAGTTTTCCGCTGGTGAGCTTGTCAGTCGACGCACGTCATGGGTTGAATTATTTCCCGTTGTCCTCGGACACTCAAATCTCTATTCAATAATTTGTTTCTTACGGATAACAATTTCGAATGACTGACCTATATAGTTAGATAGACAAAGATTTTAGCAGGCAATGAAGGTAATTTACAATTGCTCTAAACTTTCATCACTCTTGGGGTTTTGTTTTACTATTATAAATGCGAAAGTTTAGATAAATCGATGTTTGAATTTGTAGCTTTAACTGCTGAACAGATCTAGAAATTTAGCATAGATGTTCAGGATAGTCTAGAAGAACACATAGGCTATTTTTGTTTTTCTTTTAATTCCACGGGGACACGCGGAAGATCTATAACAATGGTCAAAAACGAGAATCACATACATAAAATTCTCATAGAAACAGGAATGTTAAAAACCGTTTATAAATCGAAATTTGTTAACAGTGTAGCAACTATTCCATAACTAGGGATGTTAAATCACTATATGTTACATTGTTGAGTAAAGAGTGCATTGTTGATTGTACTAAATAAATGTGAAACGTCCTTGATGCTCAGCACTGTATAAGGCTGGGTACATAAATGACAAGCGTAATAAAGCGCCTGGTAACAACTTGAACAAGTATCGATTGATAAGTCGATGCGGGAAGACGGACAAGGTCGTAACGCGCGCGCCAAAACTTGCTTATCGGTTTTTTTTAATATTTATAGCCTGTGCCAATTGTCGTCCGTATTTCCGTG